AGACTATCTACTTTGTTCTCATCATATACTACTTGTTTAGGAAAACAAGAAGTTAAAATAGCCGATGGTTCCTTATCATCTGTAGTCGGTAAAGGTTCTATTCCAATCACTTCAGCTCTATCTCTCATTTGTTTTACATGTTCCTAAGCTTTCAAATAATCTTCAATCTTTCAGTGACATAGCCAGGAAATTAAATTGTAGTGTATCATTTTTTCCTTCACATTGTGTCTTTGAGGACCTTGTCATGAGGAAGACGGTTGGTAGTGGTGAGAAGAGAAATGGTCTTTACTTTTAGAATTCTCAGGGGCTAGGTGATGCTACCACACAAGCTCATAAGTCAAAAAGATGTGATACTTCTGAGGAGTAGATTTGGCTACTACTGTACTACATTGGAGATTAGGACATCCTTTATTTGTTTTGTTGCAAAAATTATTTCCTTTGTTTTTTAGGGTGAATGCCTTTCAATTTCGTTGTGAAGTATGTGAACTTGCAAAACACTATCTAGTGTCATTTCATATTAGTTTTAATAAAAGTACTTTACCTTTTATCATTCTTCATTCGAATGTCAGGGGACCTTCTTAGGTTGCTAGCTTGTCTGGTTTTCGATAGTTTGTGACATTTATTGATGATTTTTCTCATATCAGTTGGGTTTACTTGCTGAAAGAAAAAAATGAAGTATTCTCTTATTTCTAGACTTTCCACAGGATGGTACTTATTCAATTTAGTAGTCAAGTACAAATTGTTCGTTTTGATAATTGGGGGGGGGGGGTTGAAAATGTTTATGGGAGACTTTGGGCCTATTTTGCTGAGAATGATATTATTCACCAAACCACTTGTACTGGTACACCCCAACAGAATGAGATTACTGAGCGAAAGAATCACCATCTATTAGAAGGGCCTTGATGTTTTCTCTTAATGTTCCAAAGTCATACTGGGGAGATGCCATTCTTATATTGGCATACCTTATCAATAGAATGCCTTTAAACTTTCAGTCACCAGCTGCGGTATTATCTTCCTCTTCATCCTCTTTTTCCCTCTTATTTCTCTAACTGTTTTTCAATTCCTCCTCGGGTGTTTGGATATGTTTGTTTTGTTCATGTTCCTCCTTCGGCTTTGAAGTAAGTTAGATCTTAAAGCAGCCAAATGCATCTTTCTTGGTTATTCTCCTACACATGGGCTACAAATGTTTTCATCCTCCTTCGACTAAATGAATTTTTTCTATGGATGTCACTTTTTTTGAAATAGTAGCCTATTTCTCCCTAGAGACTTCTCTTTAGGGGAGAATCTGAGCGAAGATAAGTCTAAGTTTGTTCTCCTATTTACCTCATCAGTGCATTTCTTTCTATTGGAACAAGAACATGACAATAATGAGGAACAAGAAGAACAAGAAGAAAAGGAATTACATGCTTATTCAAGAAAACAAAAGGATAAGACTATCTTTAATCCACCATTTTGCCAAAGGGCTTCCTTGAGATCAAGTAATCAAGTTCTTGAGTTTGAGTTTGATATTCTCATTGCTCTTCATAAAGGTGTTTGAACTTATACTTAATATCCCATATCTAATTTTGTATCTTTGCATCACCTCTCATCCTCTTATGGAGCCTTTGCATCNCTTGAGTTTGAGTTTGATATTCTCATTGCTCTTCATAAAGGTGTTTGAACTTATACTCAATATCCCATATCTAATTTTGTATCTTTGCATCACCTCTCATCCTCTTATGGAGCCTTTGCATCGCAGTTGTCCTCTGTGTTTATTCCTAATAATTTATAGGATGCAATGAATGGTTCCAAGTGGAAGGAAGCAATGTGTGAAGAGATGAATGCACTTCAGAAAGATAATACGTGGGAGCTTGTTGAGTTACCTGAAGGGAAAAAACCAGTTGGGTGCAAATGGGTGATTATAGCGAAACATAATACTGATAACTCGGTTGAAAGATACAAGACTAGATTGGTCGCCAAGGGCTTTACATAGACTTATGGGATTTGATTATCAGGAAACATTAGTCCCGGTGCAAAGATGTATTCCGTTTATGTCTTACTTTCCCTTTCTGCAAATTGAGGTTGACCTTTTCAACAACTTGATGTGAAAAATGCATTTCTACATGGACACCGGGAGGAGGAAGTGTATAAGGATGTTTTGCTTGGCTTTGAACTCCCCACAGATGGCAGCAAGGTATGCAAATTGAAAAAATCATTGTATGGGTTGAAGTAGTCTCCAAGAGCATGGTTTTAGAGATTCACCCAAGCTATGTTGAGATATGGCTTATCATTAGGGTCATGGTGATCATACTTTGTTTGTTAAATATTCTTCCCACAGAAAGGTGACTGCACTTATCATGTATGTTGATGATATTGTACTTATTGACGATGACAGTGTTATTTAAGGCGTAAAGCGAATCGAAGCGAACCGATCTCCTGAGGGCTTAGGCGAGAAGCAAAGCGAATAATATAAAAAATAAACAAGTATTTTAGTTTCATACTTTGATTACTCCTAAATATTTAAGTTTTAACTTTACAAATATCAAATATTTAAATGCAATCAAAATAATAAACATCAACATACTTTAAATAGACAAGATATTAAATATTGAACATTATGGTATTCTAAAAATAATCAATTAACATAATCACATTATCTAAATGTAAAGGTAGCAAATGTGGGTTCGACTTCCCCTGTGATTGATTAATATCACCACCAAACAAAGTACTCACAAATTGATTAATTAAATTGAGCATATAGCAAATTGATTAACAAGAGCATTCATATAAAAACAAAGCATTCAACATTATCTAATCATAATAAGACAGATTGTCATATGATACTGTTACACAAATTAATCAATTTATTTTATACATATACACATATAACATCATCTTTGCAGGGTTTGGTTGTTAATGTTAAAAAAGAAGGAAGAGGAGGAGGAGGAGAAGGAGAAAATAAAAAAACTGTAGTTAGACGTTCGTTTTTCTCACCTGGCTTGTTTCTTCGCTTCGTTGTCTAAGTTCGCTTTTTTTTTTTGCTTTACTTAACATCGTTTCGCCTTTGATGTTCAAGGCGACCAAGGCTCGCTTCGCTTCGCACCTTGGCTCGCTTTTTACAACACTAGACAATGATGTAGAGGAGATGGTGAAATTAAAGGCATATTTAGCATAAGAATTTGAGATAAAAAATTTGAAAATTTTGAAGTATTTCTTAAGTATTGAGGTTGCGAGATCTAGACGGGGCATATTTATTTCACAACGAAAGTATATGTTTGATTTACTTAAGAAGACATGTATGCTAGGGTGCAAGCCTGTTGATACTCTGATTGAGTAGAATTATAGGTTGAGAGAGAGTGTTGATGATACTTGTGTAGATAAAAGTCGATATCAGAGACTGGTGGACAAACTTATTTATTTGTTTCATACACGTCTAGATACAACTTATTCAGTCAGTGTCGTAAGTCAGTTTATATACTCACCTTGTGAGTCTCATATGGAGACGGTTCATTGAATTTTGAGGTACCTTAAACTAGCACCTGTTAAATGGTTACTCTTAACTAAGCATGATCATCTTTTGGTGGAAGCCTATTGAGATGTTGATTGGGTTGGATTGATTATAGATAGAAGATTAACATCTGGATATTGTACCTTTGTAGGAGGAAATTTGGTATCATGGTGTATCCAAAAAAAAAAAGAAAAATCCCATTTTGCCATCTGAAAGATACAAAAATTCTTAATTTGTCTCATGAATGATTAATTTTCCTACATTGCTTCCTCAAAGAAATAAAAACATTGCAATGTGGTCCATTGTCTTATTTTCGTTTCGTTGGCTGTCTGTTTTGTGATTTTTGATTGATTGAATTGACACAAAACAAATAGCCGATCAAACGAAAATAAGACGGTGGAACACATTGCAATATTTTTATTTCTTTTAGGGAGCAATGTGGGAAAATTTATCATTCAGGGGGGGCAAAGTGAGAATTTTTGTATCTTTCAAGGGGCAAAATGAGATTTACCCTAAAAAAAATAGTCAGTTGTGGCTAGATCTAGTCTACATGCAGAATTTAGAGATATGACTCATGGTATTTGTGAATTGTTGTGGTTGAAATTCATATTCGAAGAACTTGGTTTTAATTCTAAGGAATTGATGAGATTTTCCCGTGACAATAAGGTAGCAATTAATATTGCACGCAATTTAGTTCAGCATAACAAAACCAAGCACGTTAAGGTCAACCGACATTTTGTCATGGAAAAATTGAGTACTAGCTAAAGTTGTATTCCATTTGTGAATACAGGGATCAACCTACAGATATCTTGACAAAATGAATTATCTAGTAAAGTGTTCCATTCAATCCTTGACAAGCTAGACATGTGTGATAGCTTTGCACCAGCTTGAGGGGAGTGTGTTAGAAGCTATTTAGTCCCTTATTTTCATATTTATTGTCATGAAGGGTACTTTTGTCTTATTGATATTTGAACTATAAATATAAGGGAGAGAGAGAGAGAGAGAACCATAATACTCTTCCTTTTTCAGCCGTATTTCGTTTTCTCTATTTCTCCATTTCTCCATTTCTCTTTACATTAATTCAACAGTAACTTGCTGTTATAACTATAGTTTTTGTTTCTTGTTTTTTGTTCTTAACCATTATTGGGGTTGGATGACTTGTCCACCTTTGTTTGGTTTTTGTAACTTTGTTTTATTTCTTCTATTAATAATATTGACGTCTCTTATCAGGAAAAAATATGGTGATCCTTGTAGTTGTTGATGCCCTGACACTTGGCCCCTGTGAGTGTTTGTAAAATGACATGGTGATCCCTAGCATTTTGAAAATGACAGGGAAGCACCTTGGCATTTGTAAGTTGTAATGGATGGACTGTTTTTCACCCTAAGTATTATAGTTAAATTAAATTTCTCTGAAGTGAATCTTTTGTTATGCTTGATTTAAAATTTCCATGCTAAATCCAGCATGTCTTGCATCACAATTGACGGTTCTGGACTCTCAAAACTTTGTTTTGCAGGATTTGGTTGACACTTGCTGCCACTTTGCTGTTTTTCTCCTTCCAAAATTTTCATGTGCATGTGGAGTTCCTTTTTCTAATACCTATTTGAAAAAAGAATGAGCCTGTCCAACAAAGGGGCTTTTACGAAAGACATAAAGCTAAGTGCCACAGGAAAGACAACTACTTTGAATCCAAATGCTGCAGAATTCATTCCCTATGCACTCAGATCATCATCTGGAAGCTCTTGTAGTAATGATGCATTGCCAAGGTTTCCTACATTCGGCACTTCAACATTAGGAAAAGCTATACTAGGTCGATCAGAGTCATCTGTTTCAAATAACTCAGATGATGAGGCCCACCAATACCAGCATCACCAGCTCCCTGATGATATCACTCCTGACTTCAAGTCCATGGGAGAAAATGATAGTCAAGAAATTAACAGCATCCCTTTTTCAAGCTTATCCTTGACCGGTGTCAATGAAAGCTCAAGGTTCTCTGCTTCAACTGGCAGCAGCTTTATGTTGAAGGAGCAGCTGGATTTATCTCCTCACAGAATCAATGGTAACAGCTTCTCTGAGAATATGGGATACTCTGTTTCATCCTATGGTGAAGTTCCATCTTCAGCTAGCTTTCATCATATGTCTACTAAACCATGGGACAAGCAAACTGTGAACCATGGTCAGCTTCATACCAGTGGTAGAGAGGGGTCTCCTTACATTGGGACTTCTAGACAAGGCTTCATAAATGACATGTTAAATGAGCAAGCCATGGTGGATAGTACAGGCATGAATCCTGTTGAGTTTTTGGCCGCACAATTCCCTGGTTTTGCTGCTGAAAGCCTTGCAGAGGTTTACATTGCCAACAATGGTGACTTAAACATGACAATTGAGATGCTTACTCAGCTTGAGGTATGCTAATTTTTCTCATCTTTGGTGTAATGAGTGCGTCTCATTTAAATTGCCAAAATCAAGTACCTTGTAATAAAAAACCACCTTTTCGTATCTGAGTATTAGTATGATACAATTTTGTGTGTTGGAATACCATACTTTTGGTCTTCAGGTGTGTCCTTTTATGAGAACTAGATATTGCACATGTGCGTTGCACGCATGGATCAAAATTGAGTTTCGAAACGTTCGAAACATTTCTGTTTCCCAGGAGACCGAAACGAAACAGNAACTAGATATTGCACATGTGCGTTGCACGCATGGATCAAAATTGAGTTTCGAAACGTCCGAAACATTTCTGTTTCCCAGGAGACCGAAACGAAACAGTGATGAAATCGAAATTCTGATATTTCGAGATATTCCATAATGTTTTTAAATGTATTATAATATTTCAATACATTTGCACAATTGTTTTAGAATTTTTTAAGGTATTTTTAGATATTTTGATATATTTTCATCAATGTTTTAGAAAAATAATTCTTAATTTTTTAATTTTTTTCATTATGTTTCCGAAACGGGTTAAAACGTTTCCGAAACACGTCGAAACTTTTCCGTTTCCTAGGTGACCGAAACAATGCACCGAAACGATATTTTGATCCTAGGTTGCACGTGAATTATTTTTGACAATAATTTTGATTTTTTATTTATCAGATCGGTATATAGGTTAATTTGTTTGGAGTTGGAATATTATGAGAAATTACCTCAAATGTGTTTTTTGTAATTTGTGGGTCCTATTTTATAGTTTAATTATAAATATGGTAAAATACATTGGCTACATACCCACACATACCTATCATAACAATCTCCTCTTTTGAAGTTTAAGGACAATAAATGATTGAATCAATTTGGTCTAATCTAATTGGCAACCCTTCGATCTCTGAAACAGCCAATTCTTGTCAAATGCAAGACTTAGTTGTTTTTTTCATCATCTTTTAAGATTCTATTGTGTCCTCTTTCAGATTTTTTTTGTAAATGTTTTGTTCTTTTATATAGGTGCATTATGCTAAACCTATAATAGTGATTTACTAATGCATATTTCTATTGGGTGAATACAAACTTTTATGTATCAACAATATTTTTTAATGTGAAGTTATCACTCGAGACATTGGTACACATGTGCGTTGCACGTGGACAATTTTAATTTATAGTGGTGATGTTATTTTTATCATTATGTTGAAATAATTAAATAAATATACACTTACGAATCAAAGTATATGCCCTTTAATACTTGTTGCCTGGATGTGTTATATGTTGTTATGTGTTCCAACCACCATAATCTTCCAAAAAGTTAGACTATATGCTAAATTGATTACTTCAAGATTGATTGGTCATTTCATGAATACTGGAAGATTCATTGAGACTACGCTTATGTGTGACAAATCTACTATACTTTATTGATAATGAACCCAATTCCTTCTCTTGATGTATTTGCCAATTTTTAGAGACATGGATAGAAGTACTACATATCAAAAGGGATATAGATCGCCTCAAGTTTTTTCATAAAAACTCTTATATATTGGGAATTCTAAGAAATAATTAAAGTATGTATAATTTATCTGTCACTAAAAACGCTACAAAAGGGTTGTGGTCTAGTGGCGAAGGCATATTGAGTAAATGGATATTTTTAACTTTTTTCGGATCGACATTATATTTTTTGATTGAACTGAAATAATCGACTTATAGGATAAAATTAGATATAAATTGAATAATAATTATTAGATTATTTAATGCTTTTGTGTTGAAATTTTTCACTATATGATAAAATTGAATTGAAATTTAGTTGTGCTTGAGTGATGATGCGATGAAAATAAACTATAAATTTTTAATTATTTTATAAATTGATCAGCACTAAATTAGTTTTTTTGATTTTATAAAAAGCAGATAAATTGTTTTTTTTTTGGTGTGGAAATCAATTTATGTTGACATTAACGACAACTGTTTGAATGATCTTGTGAAATAAAATTCATAGCTACATCACTATTTGAACCCTTTATCTTAAACTTATGATTTTATCCTTGATTAGAGGGCCCTGAGTAAGTGCCGTTATGATTTCCTCTTATTATATGATAAATTGTGACCATGTGGCTTAACACCTGATAAGTTTCCAGATACCCAAAATTCACAAATATAGCTTTTGATCAATGTATGCAAATCCATGTAACATCACAAAAGATATTGTATTTTTATAATAGAATAATTTAGTAAATCATCATAATAAGCCTTCAAATGTAGAGTTGGTTGCAAATACAATCATGATCAAGAGTGAGTTGCACCTTTAAGTTCCATACAAATTGATAGGCGGAAGACATACATGTTTCAGCTACAAATGCTTGTTTCTTTTGCAACATTTATATAGGGGATTAGAATTTTGGGAATTGGAAGTGATAAAAACTAACTCAAGCTTATATTTGAGTAATTCGCGAGGGCTAACTTATCTATAGTTAAAGAAATTTAATTCTAGATTCATTGTTAAATTTATCTAAATATATAAGATATTAGTAATTGATGGAAAGTTTAAAAGTCAAAATTTTAAAGTGCTTGAATCCATATAAATTTCATAAGTCATTGTTATAACTTGGCATTTACTCTCAAAAATTCTTAGGATTTGTTTGCACTATTTCTAGAATCTGTAAGGTTTGGAAGTTAGATAAGTTACAACACCGATTAGACTAACGAAAAAAATGACTTTTGTCATACCTAGCGAAGAGGAGGGAAATATTCACCAAAATAGGCATCATATTTTTGTTATACCCTATGATGAGGAGGGTACTAATGTATGGATTTTTATCATATCCTAATAGCCTGGAGTATACAAAATTACAATATGGACTTTATTAAATTGTGCTAGTGTAAAATTACGAAATAATTTTTTTGATTAGTGTAATAATTGAATTTGTAGGTTTCTTTAAGGGTACACATAAGGTCAAATTTTTATGATAGAAGCCATAAGTGTCTTATATATTTATTTAAGGATAAAATAGAAATTCATAAGTTTTTTATATTTAGATCAAATTATTAGTGTGAGGTATAATTGTCCTTATAATTTTGTTTAAGGGCAAAAGAGGAATTTAAATTTTTTTCATCTAAGGTACTTTTATTAGTAGTATAGATATAAATTTATTTTCCGTAATATGGTGTTGATAAAAAAGCAATTGGTTGAATCCAGGTGGTTTGAGTCCTTTTCTTAAGTACTTATTCATGTTATGTTTGGCCAATTTGTCCTCCTTGGCACATTCCACTTGAATCCAATCATNAATAATTTAGTAAATCATCATAATAAGCCTTCAAATGTAGAGTTGGTTGCAAATACAATCATGATCAAGAGTGAGTTGCACCTTTAAGTTCCATACAAATTGATAGGCGGAAGACATACATGTTTCAGCTACAAATGCTTGTTTCTTTTGCAACATTTATATAGGGGATTAGAATTTTGGGAATTGGAAGTGATAAAAACTAACTCAAGCTTATATTTGAGTAATTCGCGAGGGCTAACTTATCTATAGTTAAAGAAATTTAATTCTAGATTCATTGTTAAATTTATCTAAATATATAAGATATTAGTAATTGATGGAAAGTTTAAAAGTCAAAATTTTAAAGTGCTTGAATCCATATAAATTTCATAAGTCATTGTTATAACTTGGCATTTACTCTCAAAAATTCTTAGGATTTGTTTGCACTATTTCTAGAATCTGTAAGGTTTGGAAGTTAGATAAGTTACAACACCGATTAGACTAACGAAAAAAATGACTTTTGTCATACCTAGCGAAGAGGAGGGAAATATTCACCAAAATAGGCATCATATTTTTGTTATACCCTATGATGAGGAGGGTACTAATGTATGGATTTTTATCATATCCTAATAGCCTGGAGTATACAAAATTACAATATGGACTTTATTAAATTGTGCTAGTGTAAAATTACGAAATAATTTTTTTGATTAGTGTAATAATTGAATTTGTAGGTTTCTTTAAGGGTACACATAAGGTCAAATTTTTATGATAGAAGCCATAAGTGTCTTATATATTTATTTAAGGATAAAATAGAAATTCATAAGTTTTTTATATTTAGATCAAATTATTAGTGAGGTATAATTGTCCTTATAATTTTGTTTAAGGGCAAAAGAGGAATTTAAATTTTTTTCATCTAAGGTACTTTTATTAGTAGTATAGATATAAATTTATTTTCCGTAATATGGTGTTGATAAAAAAGCAATTGGTTGAATCCAGGTGGTTTGAGTCCTTTTCTTAAGTACTTATTCATGTTATGTTTGGCCAATTTGTCCTCCTTGGCACATTCCACTTGAATCCAATCATTCCTTATGAGTGTCTTAGGTGGTCCATCACATTGGTAAAATCACCTTGGAGAAGTTCCTTATACTTTTATTTTCAGTTAAGCTACCTCTACCCTGTCATTCATCTATTGGTTTATTTAGTTTACCTTGTAACAATGCTCATCCATCCCCTACATTCTCATTTTAGGTTATACTTTTTCATGATCTTATGTCATAACTGCACAATATTTTGTGATAAATGTGTTGCTTGTAGAAATTTGTTTGTAATTTTTAGGATTTATGTTCATAAGATGCAAGTATAAGTTATATGTTCGCCATGCACCTATTACAATATCCTTTCTCCAATTTTATAACTTCTTGTGTCGAAGATAAGATGCTAACATGATATATATATATATTTGAGGTGAGGGAGTAGGTACAGTATAATCTCTCTTTCTCACTCTTACANATTTTTGTTATACCCTATGATGAGGAGGGTACTAATGTATGGATTTTTATCATATCCTAATAGCCTGGAGTATACAAAATTACAATATGGACTTTATTAAATTGTGCTAGTGTAAAATTACGAAATAATTTTTTTGATTAGTGTAATAATTGAATTTGTAGGTTTCTTTAAGGGTACACATAAGGTCAAATTTTTATGATAGAAGCCATAAGTGTCTTATATATTTATTTAAGGATAAAATAGAAATTCATAAGTTTTTTATATTTAGATCAAATTATTAGTGAGGTATAATTGTCCTTATAATTTTGTTTAAGGGCAAAAGAGGAATTTAAATTTTTTTCATCTAAGGTACTTTTATTAGTAGTATAGATATAAATTTATTTTCCGTAATATGGTGTTGATAAAAAAGCAATTGGTTGAATCCAGGTGGTTTGAGTCCTTTTCTTAAGTACTTATTCATGTTATGTTTGGCCAATTTGTCCTCCTTGGCACATTCCACTTGAATCCAATCATTCCTTATGAGTGTCTTAGGTGGCCCATCACATTGGTAAAATCACCTTGGAGAAGCTCCTTATACTTTTATTTTCAGTTAAGCTACCTCTACCCTGTCATTCATCTATTGGTTTATTTAGTTTACCTCGTAACAATGCTCATCCATCCCCTACATTCTCATTTTAGGTTATACTTTTTCATGATCTTATGTCATAACTGCACAATATTTTGTGATAAATGTGTTGCTTGTAGAAATTTGTTTGTAATTTTTAGGATTTATGTTCATAAGATGCAAGTATAAGTTATATGTTCGCCATGCACCTATTACAATATCCTTTCTCCAATTTTATAACTTCTTGTGTCGAAGATAAGATGCTAACATGATATATATATATATATATATATTTGAGGTGAGGGAGTAGGTACAGTATAATCTCTCTTTCTCACTCTTACGTTTCTCTCTCTCTCCTGCACACACTGACATGGTATTAGAACCAAACCCATAGTCAACTCGTCCTTTTTTATCGCATTCCCTTTTTCTATTCTTCTGCTGTAGTTCTAGAATTTATAGGTTGTCAATGATGTTGAGCCCATATGGTTTTCGTTGTTTCTCATTGCCGGTTGGAGCTTTGTTGACGTTTGGTTTGGTGATGTTCAGCGTTGTATATTCTGTTCACCGATTTTATGTTGCGGTAAATAATTTGTTCCTATTGCCTTAGTTGGATGTTGGGAAGTGGTGAGTTTGGTTGTCTGTTATTTGCTGGAGGCATTTTTTTTTTGTCCCAATCGTCTGTTGTGGCTGTCTTTGTAGAAGAAGGGGTCCATTTGGTTACGGTTTCAAGTGGTATAGTTCGGAATTTTATGTACACCTGATTTGTATTAATTTCTAGGCAGTATATGTTACTGGGATCAATCAAACTAGCCCAAGACAAGATCAAACCCAAAGTCGAAGTGCAATCCAGTCACTTGCTCCAAGCCAGATCAGGCCCAAGCTGGTTTGCTCTAGCCACTTCAGCCTAACTAAAGCCGGTTTAGATCCCCATTTTTGCCCAAATCTCGTTGGTGGTGGCTAAAAAAAGTAAAGAAGAATTGATGTGACTATGTGAGGCTCAATGCTATTGAAATAAGTGAAATAATCTGCGCATCTTCCTATTCCCATGGAGTAAAACCAAAATCACTGTCCTTAGGCTTATCTTTCACCAGATGCTTATGAAGTCCTTTACGTTTACGAAAGACATCAAATAATTGGCCCACAACATATAATTATTTACTCCCATTTAATTTAATTGAGGTCATAGGAGTTTTAAAGAAGGATGCAGGGGAAAAATTTGGTGCAGTTATTGAGGTCAGAGGGGTATCTTCAAGAAATAAGAAGAAAAAGATGCAGAAATAGTGTTGAACTAAACTGAAACAATGCTGAACCGAGACTGAATATATCCTAAGGTAGTGAAGCTTCCCTAAAGGGGAACAGAGCAGGCCAAACTATTGTTTGGTAACCACTGAACTGGATGGAATCTTGCTAAACTAGTTTTCCAAATCGTTGAATCGGTGCTTGNAAAGTATGGAATAATGTGGTGTGTAGGATGTATGTTGCCAACACCCTATCATCTATTTATATTAGATTAATATTGAAGACAATTACAATATTTAGGAAACTAAAATATAATAGAAAAAACACGTAATAGGAAAGTGACATAATATGAAAGCAACATAATAAGAAAGGAGAACAATCGGAAAGTAACACTCTACCATTCCCCCTCAAGCTGGAGCATAAAGATAAAAAATGTGCAGCTTGGAATAAAGGCTCCTAAAGGTAGATCACGCCAATGGTTTGGTGAGAATCCTAAGACATCCAATTCTTTCTTTAGAGACAATTAAACCAAGAGGAATTAGATTTAAATTAGCCAAAAAGATGTTGAATAGTGTTAAAAACCACAAAACCAATTCTAAATCACAATGAAAATTTCAATCGAAACTGAACTATGATGAAAACCACTACACTAAATTGGAACAAAATCGGATTGAAAATACTGAACCAAAATTAAATCGGGATGAAAACTACCAAACTGTGCTGAAAACATTGAATCAGAATTCAATCGGGTTGAAAATACTGAATCTGAATTAAACCGGGATGAAAACCACTGAACAAGCATCAAGCTGAGCAGAAAACCATTGAGTTAGAACTAAACCAGTTTAAAAACACTGAACCAAATTTAATTCGTGAGGAAAATCACTGCACCAACACCAAATTGAGCCAAAAACCACTAAACCGATACTGAATCGGATTGAAAACACTTAACAAAACTGATCCATGATGAAAACCACCAAGAATGGGCTAAACGACACTAAGCCAAACTGCAACACTAAAATCCATGCCGATGATTAGATAACAAAGACGCGGACACTGATTCATCATTCAAGCATCCCATAATAATTGATAATGATGACAACAACCAATGAACGCAGATGGCTACAATTTGATGTGTCTTGGTCATGTCGATCCACTCGCCTAAGTATCTTGCTTTGATACCATGTTGAAACTTGAATAATTATATGTTACGGTTAAGGAAAAGAAAGAGTCGAAGAAGAGAGGAAGAAAGAGAGTATGAAATAATGTGATGTGTGTGGTGTTGGTTGCCAACACCCAATCACCTATTTTTATTAGATTAATATTGAAATTACAATATTAAGAAAGTAGACCATAATAGGAAAGTAGAACGATCAAAGGCGACATAATAGGAAAGTAACACTCTGTTCTACCCGTTTCTCTTGTTTGTTATCGTGAGTTTTCCTCCTTGCTTGTTTTACTTCTTCTACCAGCTCCCATTTTGATCTCCTCAATTCCGGAGTCAACCCCCATGTCAGTGTCTCCTTTTATGCATTCTACCATGTCCTTACGAATTTACTCTCATGGGTCGAGGCCATCTGGACATGCTTCTACTCCACTGTCAGCTTCCTCCTCGTCTTCGGATCCCTCTACTTCAGTTACATCTGATTCTCTACCCATTGCCAATGGACTCATTCCTTTGTTACTCACCATCCTATTGTCAACTTTGTTTCTAATTGTTTGTTATGTTTTTTGTTTTCTTGTTTTCTTGTTTTTCCTCTTAGTTATCTACTATGCCTGTCCCTAATATTGTATCAGCTACCTTATTTGACCCGAGTTGTAGGAAAGTTAAGGTAAGAACAGATGCATTGCTCTACATGACAAGTATACTTGGGATCTCATTTCCTCTAGGCAATTAGGTTGTTGGGTGCCAATGGGCATACACCATCAAATCTCATCCTAATGGTTATGTAGATTGTTTCAAAGCTCGTCTGGCTGAGGGTGTACTCAAACCTATGGTGTTGACTATGTGAAGACTATTTCTTTGGTTGTCAATATCTCTTTTGTTCGTGTTTTGATTTCTATTACAACTAATCTTGATTGATCCTTATTTCAGTTGGATGTTAAGAATACTTTTTTACATGTTGACTTAGCGGAAGAGGTCTATATGGAGCAACTACCTAGGTTTGTTGTTCTAGGGGAGTATCTGGGCTGCAACAGTCCCCACGAGCGTGGGCTGGAAAGTTTTCAGCTGCAGTGTTGTATTTCACTTATGTACAGGTGCAGGTAATATTCTCCTCGTAGATTTATGTTGGCGATATTGTGATTATAGGCAATGACTTTGTAGGTATTGCTAAGTTGAAATGGTTCATACCAATGATCTGAGCAAAATTTTTTGCTTTCTTGGTATCGAAGTTCCTAGATCTAAATAGGGCATTAGCTTATCTATGGATCCAAATCATAAACTCTTGGTGCATGAAGGTGGATGTTTCTTTGATCTCGGATGGTGTCATCAACTTTTTTGGGAAATTGGATTATCTCACTATTACTCAAGCAGATATATCATATGGAGGAAGTGTAGTGAGTCATTTACGAAAGTTCTCCAATTACTATTTGGGATGTTGTTATTCGTATCATCAGATATCTCAAAGGAGCTCCCAGACTTAGATTGTTGTATCAATTGCATGAACACTTTCGGTTGGAAGGGTTCATAGATGCTGATTGGGTTGGTTCCTCCTTAAATAGACGATTTACTACGGCTAAGGATCAAAATTTCGTTTTGGTGCATTGTTTCGGTCACCTAGAAAATAGAAACATTTCGATGTGTTTCGGAAACGTTTCGCCCTGTTTCAAAAACAGAATAAAAAAATAAAAAAATTGAAAAATTATTTTTTTAAAATATCGGTCAAAATATACCAAAATATCTTGAAATACTTTGATCGAAATAATTGTGCAAATGTATTGAAATATAACAAAATATTTTAAAATATTATGGAATACCTCGAAGTATTAGAATTTCGATTCCATTACTGACTCGTTTCGGTCTCCTAGGAAATGAAAACGTTTTAGATGTTTCGACCGTTTCAAAATGATATTTTGATCGTTGACTAAGGAATATTGTACTTTTTTAGGAGGTAATTTGGTTACACGAGGAAGAGTAAGAAGTCGATAGTGTTGGTACGATCTAATGCAGAAGTCGAGTCCTGGGCAATGACTCACGTGTGGTGAGTTAACATGGTTATAACATTTCCTTAAGGAAATTGATTTTTCAACTAAGATTCCAACGAAGTTATTTTGTGATAATCAAGTCGTCGTTCATATTGCTTCTAATCCTGTATTTCATGAGCGAACTAAGCCCATTGAAGTTGATTATCACTTTGTTTGAGAAAAAGTGTTGCATGGAGACATTATCACACCATTGTCAAATTTGAGAATCAATTTTTGGTATGCTTACTAAGTCATTAAGTAGTTCTCAATTAAAAGATATTTGTTCCAAGCTAGAATTATGATATATATTTACTATATTGAGGGGGAGTGCTAGAATATATAGGTGTTTGACATCTTTGTAATAACTACATGCTAACTCTTTTAGTAATATTTACGCTNGTCAAATTTGAGAATCAATTTTTGGTATGCTTACTAAGTCATTAAGTAGTTCTCAATTAAAGGATATTTGTTCCAAGCTAGAATTATGATATATATTTACTATATTGAGGGGGAGTGCTATAATATATAGGTGTTTGACATCTTTGTAATAACTACATGCTAACTCTTTTAGTAATATTTACGCTCTCTCTCTCTCTCTCTAGCACACACTTTGACATCATTAAAGATGAAATATTATATTTCTCACTTATTGTGATCATCTATAAAGAAGGAAAGAGTGATGTGCTTTTAAGTTGTTCAGTCAGAAAAGTTCTTGCAATTATTGTGTCTATGTAATGACATAGAAACTAGATCGTCTCACAATTATAAATGACTAGAAATTGTTGTCTCATTTTGTAAAATGCCGTTCTGACTGGTTGGATGCTGTGTTTGATGTTACCTGTGGAGAGCAATCCCTCTGATGCATATTTGGGTGACTCAGGACAACTGTACTTCTTAACATTAGCTCCGTGTTTCCTAGACTGGTGACCTATATGGGGAGGTTGTGATGGAAAACCTCACATGATGAAATTTGTTTTTGATGTGGTCTGGCAGAAGCGTTTAAAGATTCTGTGTGGGACACCTCATATACACCATTGTGCTCCTCTTGGTTATTTTTGTTAACCCATTGGTTGCTTAAGCATGGTTTTGATGATGATCAAACATCTACACTATGATCTAATGTGTATATTAGATGTGTAGTTTAATTATATGAAAGATTTACAAGAAAGAAAAAGAAGAGGAAAGACAAATGACAGTTCGTTATGCCGGATGTTGAAGTGGCAGACACAAATTTTCCAGTACTTTGCTGAACCAGCATGCTTTGCATATGTCCGACATGCCGGATGTTGAAGCAGCAGGTACAAATGCTCCCAGTACTTTGCCTTGCAAAGTGAACCGGCATGCTCTGCATGTGTCTGGCATGCTGGATGATGAAGTGGTAGAGATTTCAACACTCAACATATGCTGATCCGGTATGTTAGATGGGGAACCGGCATACCGGTTTGACGGCTACTTTTGGCAGATATTCAAAATACTTTGACTTCCAAGTATAACTAGGGGTCTTCAATGCTTTGGGGAGAACTTTTGTTACCTTGTATTTATAAGCTAGAAACTTGAGTGATTTATTGCATTGTAAATAGATTTAAAGTGTTGAATTTCTTCTTCTTACTTCCATTCTTAATTTGAGAGAAGAGTCTTTGTAAAGTAAGAGAGAGGATTGATTGTTGTCTTCTTAAGTGACATACTATAGTGAGGAATATCATCTTGTACTCAAGGAAGAGAAGTGTAAGGGTTTTGATCTCACCCCATTGAAGAGAAAGAGAAAAAGGGAACCTCCAAGTCGAGACGAAAGAGAGGACGCAGGTCAAGAGTTGGGGACGAACCTCTATACATCCTTGTGTTTGCATTCTACTTACGTCTTTACTTTGATTTGTGTTTATTGCTTATACACACACCATCACTCTTACTATCTAACCAACATCTAGTAATCCATATTTATCAATTTCACAAATAGTGAAATTGAGATTTTAAATTGGGCAATAATTATAAAACCTAATTCATTTCCCCTCTTAGGTTGCTTTGCAGGCCAACAATTTTCTCTTTGTTGAGAATTATGTCATGTCAGCTTAGGGGTGCAACTTAGGTTGGGCAACCCGAGCCTAACCCGAAAAAATTAGGGCTTGAGCAAGGTTTTTTAATTGGGTTGGGCTCGGGTTAAGGCCTCGGGTTTACGGGTTCAACCCGAACCCGATAAATTAAAAAAAAATTATATAGATATATAAAGCATTAGCACTGATTTTTCATTTTTGGTGTGAAAGTAGATGATCAATAATCGTGCACTGTTATGAATGAAATATATGAATTATGTTTTATAAATTTGTAATTATTTCCCCCTCTCTCTGTCTCTCTCGTAGTGGACCGGTGACAATGANCACTGTTATGAATGAAATATATGGATTATGTTTTATAAATTTGTAATTATTCCCCCCTCTCTCTGTCTCTCTCGTAGTGGACCGGTGGCAATGGNAATATATGAATTATGTTTTATAAATTTGTAATTATTTCCCCCTCTCTCTGTCTCTCTCGTAGTGGACCGGTGACAATGATTTTTATGCTCTGATTATGGTTTTTATGTTAAAAACTTGGTTGAAGTTATTGATTGTTAATTTATGTGAATATTATGTAATATATGTATTAGGTTTAGAACAACAAACATATTTTGGGTTCTACCCGAACTCAACCCGAATTGAACCCGTAAAGTAACCTGAAATCAGCCCGAAATCATTAAACCGAATTCAACCCGAGCCCGCCCGAATTAAACTCGGGTAATACTCAGGTTGAGTTCTTCAACTCGAGGTAGTGTTAGGGTTAGGGCTAGGATTGAAGATTATATACCTAGGGTTGGGCTAGGATTGACTGTCCAACCCGCCCGAGTTGCACCCCTATGTCGGCTATGAAATATGAATACTTCGTTGAGGTCAACATACCTGTATTGAATACCGTATCGAATACGATTCCCGTCGAATACTCAAGGATACATATCTGATATACCTTCTACTTATCCGATAATAATAAATTATTTGGATACTTAGCGGATACTTTTGTAAATGAGCAATATGAATAATTTTTGAATTTAATCTTTAAACATCTTCTTTCCAATTCACATACTATACAAAACATCAAAAAAAATTCATGTGACTTTGAAGACACGAGTTTTTTTAGGTTTGATCTACTATGACTTGTTAGAAGAGCATAAAATGAATATATTTATACTTTTAACAACAAATACTTCTAATCAAACCAATTAAGTAGTATTAGTTTTGATTATTTTAATTAGTCACTTCACTTTATGAATATACCATCACGATACGATATATACTTTTTTGAAGCTAAAGAAAAAATGTCAATTTTGNTAAGTAGTATTAGTTTTGATTATTTTAATTAGTCACTTCACTTTATGAATATACCATAACGATACGATATATACTTTTTTGAAGCTAAAGAAAAAATGTCAATTTTGCTTATTATGTTAATGAATTACCAAAATATATAATTATTAAATCGGTAGATAATAGTAAAAATTTGAAATATATTTTACCATAGACATATTCTGGTCGTATCCGTATCCTACTTTTTTAGATTTTGTTGTATCGACATATCCATATCCATATCTTCATTGCATGCCAGTCATTTATTTTGTTATCATTGTGGGCTTGTGGCTTCTGTATTTGGAGTGGTAAGCTGTTTCTCATACCTTAGTGGTAAGAAGATAATGTTTGCTAACTCTCATACATGGTTCCATGAGTGATTTGCAGATCTTATTTGCTTTAAGCCAATTATTTTGTGTTTTGTTGAATCTTCTTAACTAGAGGCTCTCATAAGTCATAGCATGTTTCATCTGTGATTGTAGCTGCAAGTTGATGGTTTGAATCAGAATGTGAACTCAAGGGCCTTGTCAGCTCCGAATCTTGGTGCACTGGATTTTCCTGCACTTTCTGTGGCTGATGATCAGAATGGTGTGCAGAAACGTGCTGGAGATGATCTCCAACAAAGCATTGATCCTTATCGGTCTTCTGAAAAGGACAGCATGCTTTTGTTCAAATCGAGCTCGTCAATTTTGTCCAGAGGGGCTGTAGATTTTGCTTCAGCTGTCAGGAAAATGGCCTCTCAGGATTCTGATTTGTGGAAGTATGATCGAAATGGTTCTGCAGATGTTAGTGTTGGCTCAAGTAGAAGCTCACATGTCTTGGCTAGCTCTAACAATGGCAGTCAGGGGAGGGGCATTTATGGTGAGAGGTTGCAGAGTCGGAGTTCAGCTCGTGCAGCTCCTGTCTGGCTTGAAACTGGCGAAGCAGTGGGTAATATTCCTGAGGCAACAATTTAACTTGCTTTATAAACCTTTAATTGTGGGACAAATGCCTTCTGCACATATATATGCTTTAACATTGTTGGGATCACAGCAAATATGTATTCTGAAACGCGGGAGGAAGCTCGTGACCACGCCCGCCTACGTAATGTTTATTTTGAACAGGTATGTTCCTATAAATATGCTGCACAGTTCTTAAAGCTTGCTTCTTCCTCCCCCCTCCCCCTCTTTTCCCCCGTCTTTTTCTTCCTTCTTTTTCTCTCCTGAACCCAAAAAATGGAGGAGGAAAGCAAAGAAAAATTTAAAAACATCTTACTCCAAGATTGGTAGGTTTACACCATTTTCCATAATCTCAGAGCTGGTCAATAAGGATATTAGACTGTTTAAAAGCTAAACTTTGAACAAGTGAGCTCTTTTGAGNAAATTTAAAAACATCTTACTCCAAGATTGGTAGGTTTACACCATTTTCCATAATCTCGGAGCTGGTCAATAAGGATATTAGACTGTTTAAAAGCTAAACTTTGAACAAGTGAGCTCTTTTGAGGAGCAAACTGCAGAAGTACTTGGGAAGCATACTCTGATGAAATTCAATGGTAAAGACGTGTTGCATTGCGTATTATGATATGTAGGATATCATTGTTAACGTTATCTACTATTAGGTCATCAAGCAGTTTAATTTAAATGTCCTTACTGCCGAGATAAATTGCCTTGTTTGCTCACCTCAATTCTTATTTTTTGAGTTTTGTGCCAGTATTATTGCATTCATCCTGTGGGGCAGCTTATATTCAACCACTTTTTTCCCTTTCTTTTCCCCGGTAGGTTATGTAACAGTTTTTTTTTGAATGTCCATTGGAACAGGCACGGCAGGCATACCTCATTGGCAACAAGGCTTTGGCCAAGGAACTGAGCTTGAAAGGGCAGCTGCACAACATGCGAATGAAGGCAGCTCATGGGAAAGCTCAAGAGTCTATATATCATCAAAGGTTTGTTGCGCCATGCCTCTTTTGAAACACCTGACTTTTTGGAGCGTCAGCAGGACATGGAAGCCTCAGCTCCTGTATCGGTTTACCAAAATAACCTCTGCTATCCCTCTTCCTTCTGTTCAAAATCTGAGCAGCCCTTCTCTTCCTGAAGTAGGTAGCCCCGAAAGCCAAACTTAGCAACTCGTTAGGAGTAGGATATGACCATCCATAGGGCATGCAGCTAACTTCCTTCTTGGGAGTAGCAGGAAAAAAAGGATTTGGCTTGGTCCAAACAGGAAGGAAGTTAATGCATGCCGCGTTAACCTCCTATCTACTTGCAACTTGGAGAAAAATGCCAGTGGAGGAATTCTCTGTCTTGCTTTCCTTTTACCTGACAAAATTGAATTAGGCGTGGGTTCCACTACATCTTTAATAATGACCCCAAGCATTATCTGGCAATTTAGAAGCTTCACTTGTTTAATCACTTTCACCCATCTGCTTTCCACCCTGTTATATGTTTGACATATATATGTGTTTTTACATGCTTATGCAGTCACCGGCATCTGCACCACCATCATTTTGAAGGGTTAATGCTGACATGTCACATGATAAGCAACATTAATGTACAGAGATGCCCTAGTAGGGTAGATAATGGCAATATTCTGTGATCATATATATCTCCATTGTTATGGACAGTGCTTTGAATAATTTTTTTACCCAATTTTCTAAGTCACATGAAACGCCCATTACCAAGCTCATTTTCTTTCTTTCGAGTGTTTTTGATTTTTTTACAGGAACCCAGTTAGTCCAGAGATGCAGAACAATGGGAGAGGGCAGGAGAGGATAATAGACCTGCATGGGCTACATGTTAGTGAAGCTGTTCATGTCCTGAAACGTGAGCTGACTATGTTGCGGAGTGTGGCTAGGTCAGCCGATCAGCGCCTGCAGGTTTATATATGTGTTGGAACGGGCCATCACACAAGGGGCTCTCGCACTCCGGCAAGACTTCCAATTTCCGTTCAACGCTACCTGCTTGAGGAGGGTCTTGACTACTCTGAGCCACAGCCAGGCCTCCTCCGAGTTGTGATATACTGAGTCATGGAGGTATTGGAGTTTTTTGACACAGCATAACCCACACAAGATAGTTGAAGTCTGCAACAATGTAAAAGAACAAAGAAACGAAAAGTATGTTAAAAGTGAAAGGGAAAAGACAGCTAAAGTGTATCGGCTGGCCGATGCAGAACTAAATTTTGGTAGCCATCAGGGACTCGATGTCAGCCGCCTTTTGCCACCTTTTTGTTGTTGTAGTTTTGTATATTTTTTTCGCACCTTGTAGATTCCTTTTTTTTCCCCTTTAAATTCTCTCCTGTAACTCTGTAGAATTAATTTACATGAAAGGTTGATTCACCAAGCATTCATTTGTCTCATCAAATTACAGGAAATCTGTAATTCTTAGAATTGGGTGATTTTATTATTGATAACGAAAAAAACATTGACCTAACCACCCCAAAACAAAAAAAAAAAAATTGACCTCTTTTGGACTAGTGATTACAAATGCAAACTATGCTTCCTTGACATAGAACTCAGAATGAGTTATATTGACGAGTTTTACGGTTTATAAATTTACCCACGGGATGGCTTATTGTCTATGGAGCTTGATGGGACATTAGGCGGCTCGCCAATAAAAAGCAAGACGTTGGCATTCATAATTGTCAAAACGCACACAGTTCACCGGAAAGAGGAGTTGATAAGTTATTACAAATGGGGTTGAATATGCCCCTTGAAACTCAACATTAAATGAGACCTAACAGTTCTTTAATGATAAGTTATTACAAATGTGGTTGAATATGCCCCTTGAAACCCAACATTAAATGAGACCTAACAGTTCTTTAATGTGAGTTTAGATTGATTTGACAGACTATTAATGATTGTCTAGATCCTCAAAAATTATGGAGATAATCATTATTACAAGACATTAATGGTCACCATGCCGACATGAAGATCTTGGTGGATCCCGAGAGTATTAGTTTCCTCCTCATGAAAGCTCGAGCGTAAGTTTTGAGTGCCGGCGTGAAGCATTTAATGACCATGCATCGAATCATGAATGCTCGGCGTTTCCTGAGAAGAGATCCATTTGTCCAGACAAAATAGTCTTAATGAGATTAGACAGAATGACACTCATTATGCTAAAAAGTGAATACAAACTATTAAACTCTAAGATGAGACTCAAGTTCAGGGCCACCATTACAAANTTAATGAGATTAGACAGAATGACACTCATTATGCTAAAAAGTGAATACAAACTATTAAACTCTAAGATGAGACTCAAGTTCAGGGCCACCATTACAAATCCAGGTATAAATACCCTAAAAAAACTAAGCTAAAGTACGCAATCTTGAATGAAGAATGCACTGTGCATTAAAGACTGCATGTTGACTGACTTGAGTTTTGGAAGAGATTAACTGGATATATTCACGGTCACTTTCCTAATCTTTTAATTATTTCAAGCTCATCATTCAAAATCATCTAAAGAGTCGTTATCTCAACACATTGTAGGAAATCACGAATAAAAATGTCCATTCAAATGACCATTTTTAAAACATCATTTAAGGTGACTAGAAGTCGAGAAACCATAGTCTCCAAATGATAATGCACAGCTGGCAATCCATGCAACGGACACGGCCATAATTCATGCGAATTGACGGCTTTGGTTACTGGCGTCGAATTTATTAGGTCTTCTTTTTGGCCTCAGTCACCTTACCAGCTACCCATACACATTAGATACAAGGAAAAATTATTGATAAATATTAGTTTTTTTTAATAAATATCCATTAAATTATATTATTTTAGGTTTATATCAATGAAGTCCTTTGTTTAATGTTTTATTCCAATGAAATCCCAATGCTATTATATTCTAATTTTACTCTTAACTTTTAGTTATCAAAAACCTTTTTATTCTTTTTCATTCTTCTTAATCTATTACAACTCCGGCGGCACACCTCAGTGAAGCTTTTAATTGCTATTTGTTCCCTTACTCAACAAGGATAACATGTTTTTTGTGGAAATTACGGATTGAAATTTTTTTTTTTTGCCCTTTTGTTCTCACTTTTAGCTTGTTGAAAAATTACTAAAGTTACGAGATACACCATTATAGTGTATCAACTGTTATTTAATTCAATTTTATATTTTTTTGAGAGTGACTTAGTTTGATATAAGTTAATTTACTTATTTTTTTTTTCTACAAATAGTGTTCAATTTTTAGCGAAGCTAATATTATAGACATATGAGTGCTCAATTTTTGTTTAGATAATAATATTCAGTTCAATTGTGATTCTAAAAGTACAAAGTACTGAAGTTCTTGTCTTGAAACTGTGGGAAAAATATAATACTTCTCGTATAGAATCTTTCCACTCAATTATACACGAGAATTGCACGCTAAACTTAGAGGGGGGATGAATAGGTTAATTTAAAATTAAGTTCAGATGATCTCCAATTTTAACCTAACTCTACCACAATTGCTTCTTGTCGCAAAGGTATGACAATTTAAGTGAGAACCCTTTTTAACATGAACAACCTAGGGGTGTCAAACGTGTCAGGTTAGACGGTTACGTGTCGGGTTAAACGGATGACGAGTGAAAAATATGTAAACTTGTACATGACACGTTTAATAAACGGGTGAAAAATTTCAACACGAACACGACCAGTTTAATAAAAAGTTAGCACGATATGACTCGATTAACCCATTTAATTTTAAAAAAATTATATCAACAAATTTTAATACACCACTTTTTTTACTATCAATTGTATTTACCTCAAAAAAAGAGAAATTTCTAGACAAATTTCACATAAAAATCAGATTTGAAGACTAAAAAAAAAGGCAAGAGGCCACTGCCTTTTATAGGCAAGGCAGCCCTCTCCATCTCTCCTCATTTGCCGATGTGGGACAAAAACAAAAAGGGTTGGTTTGCCTTTGTCATGAACTGCTTCCATCTCCCCTCATTTGTCTTTAAACTACTACTTTACTTTTTTTTTTGTATTGAATTCTTTATTTTTTTTTTGGCTAATTTTTTAAAATAATTATTAATTTATTATTATATTAATTTTATTTAAATGGGTAAACGTGTGATAAACGGTTTAACAGGTCTCACCCGAACACGACCCGTTTATTAAACGTTTTTGACGGGTCAACCCGTTTACCACCCAAACCCATTAAGATCTCATCCAAACTCGCTTAATTCGTGTCGATTTATATTGGTTAATCGTGTCGTGTCGAATTTTGACAGTCCTAGAACAACCCATTAAAAGTGTAAATGGATGAATAAATATGCAATCAACACCAACCAATTCATAATCTCCTTTTGATCCCAACCAAAGCCATACTCAGCCAAACCCACTATTAATGACTTGAACAATAAACAATCAATTCATCAAACACATAGTGCGCGTGTGTGCAACATTGCAAGTATACAAGCAAATTAAAACAATAAAGAACACATGCAATTTGTTGACTGGGAAACCCTTCTTGAGAAAAATCGCGGGAAACTTTCTTAGTTCACAAAAGCATAATCCACTAAACTCAAAGTCAATCTACAAGTACTCAAGTCTTATACTTCAACCAATCTACATGGCTAGATGCTCATTTTCTTCATAAATTTCTCTGCCAAAATTCCATCTTCGATGTTATGGCTAGCTTTACTTGAACTTTCTACCGCACGATTCGTTTTGGCCTCAAGCAATCTTCAAGGCTTCACACCCAAAGCCTTGGTTTGCACACTCTCTATGTGGGTTTTGGTTGACACTAAGCAAGATCTTCTTCTTCAATGTATAAGGTTAAATAGAAGAATCAAGATTGTTG